ATACGGGGTGTCAAATAAGTTCAAACTTGGCAGACTTTTGCTTACAGTCTTACGATCTCTTCAGAATGAAAGGGCAATTCAGATACAGGATTTGATAGGAGAAACATTGACCAATACTGCCTGCCCTGGCTGGGCCCCAAAATAGCCAGTTTGCATGAATTCTCTTAACAACAGGAAGTCCTGGTAAGGAATGGAAAATTAACAAGCTACCACCAACCAGAATTCGGGAAAGGTCAAAAGCAGAGAGGAGACACCAGTTCATATGTCTTACCAACCTCCCAGAATCCTCCTTGCTGGAATTCATCTCGGTTGAGCCATTTGTGTGCCACTGGGTTCCCTTACCCTGATGCTCTCTGCCCAGCCGGGCACCCCTTCACAATAAAGTCTCTTGCTTTGTCAAAATGTGTGTCTGCTCGGACAATTCATTTTCAAGTGTTAGACAAGGGCCCACTCTTGGACCCTGGAAGGGATGTCCCTTCCTGCAACAAACTGGTTTACTGAGTGCTGGTGAAGGAAGAGAGTAGCAGGTAGTAGTGAAACTGTGCAACTCAGACTGGGACCTGAACCCACGGTCTTTTCATTGAGATCACGTACCACCACATTCCCTGGTGGCTCAGATGGGAAGGAATCTGCCTGCAATGTGGGAGACCCAGGTTTGATCCCTGGGTCAGGAAGATCCCCTGGAGAAGAAAATGGCAATCCACTCCAGTATCCTTGCCCTGCAGAATGGGGTCACAAAGAGTTGAACATAACTGAGAGACTAACAATACATTCCAATTTCTCCCAGTGCAGTCCATTTCAAAATGTGAGAACAGCCTTGGGAGAAACACACTTCGTAGACAGAGTGTGGGCTATCTCAGAAAGCTAAAGGCCCCCATATATGCATGGTGGTTAGTTTTCGTGGGCTGGGTAACTGCCTAAGCTAATGAGTGGGAGGATTATTCCATCTATTTCAGGGAAGGAGCAGAGATTTCCAAGAATTGGGCCACTGTCGACCTTCTGACCTTTTATGGTGGGCTTCAGAACTCTCATGGTACTTGAAGGTGTGCCATTAAGCACATGCTAATGTATTACAATGAGTGTATAATGCAGCTCAAGGTTTGCTGGAAGTCAAAACTTCCACCATCCTGGACCTAGCTGGTTCTAACCATCTTCTGTCATATTCTCAGGGGTTATGTCATTCTTTTTTTAACTTTTTACTTTATATTGGACTATAGGTGATCAACAATGCTGTGCCAGCCTCAGGTATATAGCAAAGTGGTTCAGCCACACACACACGCATTCATTCTTTCTCAAACTTCCCTCCCATGTTCAGTTCAGTCACTCAGTCGTGTCCAACTCTGCGACCCCATGAACCGCAGCACGCCAGGCCTCCCTGTCCATCACAAACTCCCGGAGTTTACTCAAACTCATGTCCATAGAGTCGGTGATGCCATCCAGCCATCTCATCCTCTGTCGTCCCCTTCTCCTCCTGCCCCCAATCCCTCCCAGCAGCAGGGTCTTTTCCAATGAGTCAAACTCTTCGCATGAGATGGCCAAAGTACTGGAGTTTCAGCTTCAGCATGAGTCCTTCCAATGAACACCCAGGACTGATCTCCTTTAGGATGGACTGGTTGGATCTCCTTGCAGTCCAAGGGACTCTCAAGAGTCTTCTCCAACACCACAGTTCAAAAGCATCAATTCTTCGGCGCTCAGCTTTCTTCACAGTCCAACTCTCACATCCATACATGACCACTGGAAAAACCATAGCCTTGACTAGACGGACCTTTGTTGGCAAGGTAATGTCTCTGCTTTTTAATATGCTGTCTAGGTTGGTTATAACTTCCCTTCCAAGGAGTAAGCATCTTTTAATTTCATGGCTGCAGTCACCAACCACAGTGATTTTGGAGCCCAAGTCCCTCCTATGTAGGTTGCCATAAAATATTGAGCAGAGTTCCCTGCGCTACACAGCAGGTCCCTGCTGGCCATTCATTCCGAAAATAGCGGTGAGTACACATCAGTCCCAAACTCCCCAGCTGTCCCTCCCATCCACCCTTTCCCCAATAACCTCATAACCATAAGTTCTCTTAGTCTGTGAGTCTGTTTCTGTTTTGTAAAGAAGTTCATTTCTTTTTTAGATTCTTCATATAAGTGATATCATATGATACGTGTCCTTGTCTGCCTTACTTCACTCAATATGACAATTTCTAGGACCATCCATGTTGCTACAAATGGCATTATTTCATCCCTTTTCATGGCTGAATAATACTCTAATGTATATATGTACCATTTCTTTATGCATTCCTCTGATAATAGACATTTAGTTTCTTTTCATGTTCTGGCTACTGTCAACAGTGCTGCAATCAACACTGGGGTGCATATATCTTTTGGAATTATGGTTTTCCCTGGATATATACAAGCCCAGGAATGGGATTGCAGGATCATATGATAACTCTATTTTTAGTTTCTTTCCTTTTTGTTTTGACTGCTCTGGGTCTTCCTTGCTGTGCATGGGTTTTCTCTGGTTACTGCGAGTGGGGGCTACTCTCTAACTGTGGTACATGGGCTTCTCATTGCAGTGCCTCCTCCAGCATGGGCACTAGGGCACGTGGGCTTCAGTAGTTGTGGTGCACAGGCACAGTTGCTCCACAGAACGTGGAATCTTCCCGAACCAGGAATCAAACCCATTTTTACTCCATTAGCAGGCGGATTCTTAAGCATTGGACCACCAAGTTGTTCCTAAATTAGCTTTTAAAGTGTTGATGTCAGCTCACTGGAGCCTTGTCACTGGCTGAAGAAACTTTTTAACCTAAGAATCAGATAAGGGCTGGAGGTAGATTGGGAGTGGGAGGTGGGGTGGAATGGGGCCGGTAGCAAAGCCTTGGCCAATGGGGCCAAGGGATGGTTGAAGTTTCTGAAGACCACCGAGTATAAAAACAGGTTTTACAATATCATGTCTTTGAATATTACAGCTTATTTCCTGAGAAAGCATTTGGGAAAGAGGCCCCAGCAGAAGGCCCCAAGAGAGATCCCAGAGCATCTTCTGTTCTGGGGATGTTGAGGGTAAACAAATGGTGATGAGGATGGCGACAGAAAGCAAAAAAGGGGAACTAGTGTTGATTGGATACCCACGATGCACCAAGGATGGTGCTAGCATAGAAATTATCTTTTAATTTTCAAAAACTTTGAGTGTAGTGGTTCTCAGCCAGGGGAAATGTTGCCCCTAAGAGCGGATTTGTCAATGTCTAGAGACATTTCTATTTTAACAATTAGGGGATGCCACTTGGCATCTAGTGGGTAGAGGTCAGGGATGTTGCTAAACACCCTATAATGTATGGGACAGGTCCTAACATTGAGAATTATTTGACCCCAAATGTCAATAGTACTGAGGCTGAGAAATCCTGCTTGAAGGATAGACATATTAATCTCCATTTATACAGATGAATCTGTAGTTCTGAGAAGCTACCTGTCATTCAAAATTAGACTAATACAGTTCCAAAGCCCTGCTCTTTCACCATGCCATAGTGACGGGAACAGTGATGGGAATGAGGGTGAGAAAGATAAAGAACCAGGGCACTAGCTGCTGCTCAGAAGATATTTGTTGGAGGAATGAGCACAAGAAAGACAAGGGGTGATAGTGGATGGGAATGATCATTCTATTGCCACCCTAACAACCTGACACTCTGTCCTTGTTCCACAATCCAAAACGGAGTCTGGATTATGATAATGAAGGCAATCAAATGATGGGGAAGGTGGCCTCAAGCCCCTCTGCTCAGTCTCAGGAGGAGTCTGATGCCAGTGTCTGCACCTCTAAATGGATCTAGAAGTACGGGTAGTGCCCTGGCACACTCTCGTCCATCGCCTTTTCCAAAGAGACAGAGACAGGCAGGGAGTTCTGAGCTGAGTAGGGGTGACCATTCCCCTCTTCCTTCCTGGCGCTGAGCCCAGCTGTGGCTCCAGAGGACGAGGAGAACTTGTTTCCCCAGTTCCTACATTTTCTGTGAATTTGGAGTGGGACTGAGCCAGATTCATTCTGGGAAGCCCTGAGTCTTCTGGGAGGGAACTCTCTAGATGAAAGAGGGTGGAAGGGGAGGAGCCAATGATAAAACAACACTTCTTTTCACTTCCTCTTTTGGACTCCAGAATTTGCCCTCTGGGTGGAATCTATCAAGCCTCAAGAGAAGCCAGTGTCTGCCGTGCTGGGCTATCAGAGTGACCTGCTCGCTCTANGAGGTAGAGCCAGGAAAGAGGAATTGCACCCACAAGAAGCCCTGCACCCTTCTCCTTCCTGCTTCCCATCCTCCCACTGAAGCCACCAGGGGTGGGCAGCCAAGGGACACAGATGCCTCAGCCCTGGTGCTTCTGTCCGAGACCTCACAGATTCTGTCACAGAAAATAACTGTCCTCTGTCTCAATTGCTTCCTCTTTCCAAAATAAACCACGAGCCCAGGCCATGCAGAATCACATGATCTGCTTGGGTTATCCCCATGGGTTGATAAATTGCCCATTTTTCATGTATTTGAAGGCTTCTGAGCCTGTTCCCTTGGACAGAAAGAGGAGGCAGTATTACTGGCTGCAGCTGGGTGGGGTGAACACTGCTGGGCACTGCTTTCTCAGCACCACTAACCTCTCCACCACCCAGGACTGATAGGGGGTGGGGCTCTCCCTGGGTCACTGAATCCAGGGCTCCCTAGACTGGTCTTCCAGCCTGGCTCACTCTTTCTTATTCTTCTGAGGCCACAGAGACTCCTCTGTTCTTGGGTGTCAGGACAGGTCTATTCTCAAGGACAAAGAATGAAACAGGTCAGACGAGAAACGTGACCTCTGACTCTCAGCCTGGCACCTCCACCAGATGGCCCCCTTGTCTTCATCCGGCTGGGAAGACAGTTCATCCACTAGTGTCCCAATGCCCCAGTGTATGAGGGTGGGGAGTGATTCCCCAAAGGATGCATGTGCAGTGTGTGTGTGCATGTCTGTGAGTGTGAGTTTGAGAGAGAAAGAGAAATAGAGACAGAGAGAAGAAACTGGGGAGAGCTCCTCGGGTGAGGTGTGTTTGTGTTTCTAGACTGTTTGCTTGCCCCCTCTCCCATTTCCCTACCTCACACCTTCTCCGAGGTGGAGGAGCCAAGCTCCCTGAGAGAATCTGGGTTCCTGGGGGCCCCTGTGTGGCCACATGAGTTGGAGGAATTGCCTTCAGTTGCAGAACTGTTCTGGGTTGGGTTCTCTTGATCTCCCCAGCACGGCCACAGTTTTCCATCATCTGAGATTTGGGGTCTGCTTAGGCCCTTGGGTTCCCTTTTCCTCATGCTGCCTCCTCTCTCTGCCCCTCGGCAGATCTCCCAAAAGCTGTGCTGAGCATCCAGCCTGCGTGGATCAATGTGCTCAGGGAGGATCGTGTGACGCTGATGTGCCAGGGGACCAGCTTCTACGAAGGCAACCTCACCATGTGGTTTCATAACGGGAGCTCCATCCACACCCAGAACCAGCCCAGCTACAGCTTTCAGGCCGGCAGCAATGACAGTGGATCCTACAGGTGCCAGAGGGAGCAGACCAGCCTCAGCGACCCTGTGCATCTGGATGTGATTTCTGGTCAGTGGAGGAAGGCCCTGGAGAGTCTGGGAGAACAAGGGGAGATGGACTCTGCTTACATGGCAGAGGTTTTTAGGAAAGGGCAGTTGCCTACTTACTGGAAAGCATGACTGTGAGTTGTTTGAAGTGGTTTTGGTCCACCCATTTCCCTTTTCAACCCACCTCCTTGGCTTAGCGTGAGTGGTGAGGTGGAAGTTCCTAAGAGATTTCTCAAAATATGTTGGGCTCCTTTATCTTGGTGCTGATTGAGCAAGAAGGTGACAAGGCCACCAACAGGCATGTGGGTGTGAGAGAAGCAGAAGAAAATCTCTAATTCATAGAAATCTTTCCATTTTTATGGCACAGTCAAATGCACAGGGAATTACTAGCCATCTAAACATGATGATTTCATTTACCTTTGAGCCTCAGTTTCATCACCTGCTAGTGGAGATACCACTGCCTCCCACACGAGGTTCTGGTGAGAACCAGCATTTCCCTAATCCCTGCCCTCTCTCTGTGCAACTGAGGTGAGACTCCTGTCTTTTAAATTTTTATTTATTTATTTACCTATGGTTGCTGTGTGTCTTTGCTGCTCTGTGTGGGCTGCTCTCTACTTGAGGTGCATGGGCTTCTTATTGAGGTGGCTTCCATAAATACAGCTTGGTTGGCGTCATGATTTGCTGAAGGGTCTAGGTGTGGTTGACTGGCACATATGTGACTGTTGTCATTTTTTCTTATCTCCCTGCTCCCTTCCAATGTATCTGTTGTTTCCTACCCTTTCTTTCCAATTTCAACTCTGCTCTGTCCTACAGCTTCAGGAAAAAGGTTGGTGTGGCCTGAGATCAGGATTAGAAGTAGCTACCTAAGCCTCTATTCCCTACACAACAAAGAAATGAAATATTTTTCCTCAGTAAAAGAATGAAAACTGGGGGGGAAAATACACAGCTGGCTAATGGCCCACCCATGTCACTGCTGGCTTGAGCAAAGTCCCGCTGAAGTGAAACCCACGTTTACTAACAAGCACTGAGTAAGCTAATATTTGCTGGATGCCCACGGCTTTCCCCAAGGACACAGGTCTCTTCTGTGTCCCCCTCACATGCTGTGTCCTCTCTCAGGCTGGCTTCTCCCTTTCCTCCCTCCCTCCCTCCCTTAGGGAAGGGATTTCACTCCCGGGTCCCCTGTATCCTCCTGCAGACGCCTCTTGGGCCAGACAGGGCTGCAGCTGGCGTCTCCCAGGACAGGAGTGAGAAGACAAGCATATCTGAACACCTACTGTGTGCCAGCAACTACTGTAGACAGTACAGCTAATGGTACTATTGTGACTAGTTCCGCATACGAGGAAACTAAGGCCCAGAAGAATTCATTATTTACCCAGGATCACAGGGTGCGTACATGAAGGAGCCAGAATTAGAGACCAGGGCTGTGTGATTCCACATTTAAACTGCCCTCCACACATACTGGCCCCCGGATGGTCTGGGTCTCAGATCTGAGTCAAGACCTTCTGGGTCCTGTGGTCCCTTTGTGTCTTTCAGACTGGCTGCTGCTCCAGACCCCCAGCCTCGTGTTCCAGGAGGGGGAGCCCATCGTGCTGAGGTGCCACAGCTGGAGAAACCACCCTCTGAATAAGATCACGTTCTACCAGGATGGGAAATCCAAGATATTTTCCTACCTGCGTTCCAACTTCTCTATCCCACGTGCCAACTTCAATCACAGTGGCAAGTACCACTGCACAGCGTTTATCGGGAAGACGCCACACTCGTCACAGCCAGTGAGCATCACTGTCCAAGGTGGGAATGAAGGTTGTTCAAGGAGATGTACACCTTGGAAAGATGGGTAGTGAAGGGATTACTAATCTTTTCTGGACTCCAGAATGTTTTCCTGGGAGCGCCTGTTTGACATAAACAGGAACCCTGAAAGTCCTAGTTTGACCTGATGGTTTTGTGAATGTGAAGCTCTGTTCCAGGTCATTTCTCAGGGATTATAGAAATGGGTGTCATTCATTTGGTGTTTTAACTCTCAGGGGACAAAGTCCACCTTTTCATCCTCCATATCCAACTACCAGACATTGCCACTCTCCCTCTTTTGCATCTCATTCAAAGCACTTTATCATATGTCTCTCTTGAAGTCTAATGCTTGCTGTGTTTCCCTACTGAACCTCTCAGCCTAGGATCAAATCTTAGCTTGCTGCAGCCATGTTGACATGAGAATCTCTCTCTACATACAAAGAACTAGACTTCTGCCTGTTCTTGAGAAGTTGTACATTGTGGAATTCATATTATGCCCTTTCAGATGGTATCACAAATTTATGCCAGCCTAATGTTCATTAGTGAGTATCCAGTCCTGGGTTCAGAGGAGGCGGTGAGTGAAGATGTGTTGATGTCATCTGTGTATTCCCGAGTTCAGTGTTCCCCAAAGGCTGTTCCCCAATCACATAACTCTTTGAGAACCCTTTCAGAATGAAGGGTTCTGTGGTCAAATTAATGCAGAACACACTATGTATTCTTTTCCTCTCCTTTTGTATTCATAATGCACACCAAAGGCTTCAAGAAGCCCTGTCTCAAAGAAAACTTTTAAATTAAGTCTAGTAAGGCATTTGCTAAACTCAGGTAGCCACAGAACCCTTCTTCCTCTATAACTTCTCTTAATGTCCTGCAGAACAGATGTGTTGGAGGTCATCCTTTGGGAAATGCCGATGGGAAGGCAGAGAGATGAAGTGACCCACTGCAGACTTCCTGGGGTAGCTGTCTGCTCCTGGCCTTGGCTTGGGTTGCCTTGCAGACTCCTCACTAGGGACACGACTGTTTATTCCAAATTTCTGTCTTAACAACTGTCATTTTTCCCATTCCTCTGCCTCTCCGATTAGGTCCAGCAATTCCACTCCTCTTTTCACCTTGGCATCAAATCACTTTCTGCCTGGTGATGGGGCTCCTTTTTGCAGTGGATACAGGCCTGTATTTTTCAGTGTGGAGAGACCTTCAAAGCTCCATGAGAGACCCGAGGAATTACAAAGTCTGATGGAGCCAAGACCCTCAGGACAAATGACCCCTCATTCCATGGTGTAACAGCAGTGGTGGCAGTGCTCTTCAGTCCATAACTTTCCTCTTCCCTGGCCTCTCCTTGACAACAACCTGGGCTAAGGAGCCTCCATGGAAAGAGAAGACCTGTGATCTCCAGATCAAGTAGACGGTAACAGGCCCTGCCTTCACTGATTTCCCAAAGGCTAAGGCACAGTCCCAGCTCATCCAGCTCTACATGGACTCATAGCAAATGTGTTCTCCTAGCTCCTCACCAGAGGCTCCTCAAATAAATGAAACCTCAGTAAATCCTGGTGCTTCTTTCAAAGTAAATCCAACAATCTTCCCACTTCTCACAGCCTGCAGATGGTCTCGTTGTGGGGGCCGGGGCTGCCTGGAGGGATGGTGCAGCCCCAGGAGGAGGGGTGGATGTGGCAGCATCTTGATCCAAGCCACCATCCTCTCTTACTTGGATTACTGCAACAGCCTCCTGCGTGGTCTTCCTGCACTCAACCATGTCACCCAACAGTCTATTCTCACAACAGCCAATGTGTGTTATATCTGTCACTTCTTTTCTGGAAGCCATGTAATAGCTTCCCCCTTGCATTTAGAGTAATAGCTAAAGCCTTCGCAATGTTCTACAAGGTACTACATGATCTTGCTCCTCAATGCCTCTCTGACCTCATTTACTGCTCTGTTTTGCTTCCTTGGACACTTCAATTCTACTTCTGCTACAGGTTTATGTTATTTACTGTTTCTGAAATGTTCTTACAGATATCCACATCAGGCTTCTTCATGGTCTTTACTCAAATATCACCTCATCAGTGAGGTCTCCTTGGTCATTCAACCGAACCTCACTCCTCTACTGTCTCCTAATCCTGCTCTCCTGCTTTATTTTCCCCACTGTTCTCATGTCCAACTGAATATGTTCACTTATTCAGTTGTTTATTGCTGTATTTTTTCCCCATGCATGTACCACCAACTGACTATTCCCTCTCTCATTAAAACATGCTCCAGGAAAAAAAAAAAAAAACATGCTCCAGGAGATCTGGGCCTTTGTCTGTTTTGTTCTACTATATACTTAAGAGTCAAGGTCGGTGTGTGGCACATGATAAGGTCCTCAATACATATTTATGGAATGAATAAATCCTTCAGCATTCAAAATCAGAGACTTTTTAAAAAAGTACATCTACTCCATCTTACCAGAAGCAGAAGTCCAATTCAGTACTACTGAACACCCTGTTAGATACTACCCAAAATATCCCACTAGTACATGCATTTCAGCTTTGAATACTATCCGTCTAAACTCATTTTTTACTTTCACCCATCACATCTTGTAAAGGAGTGTATTATGGAATCTGATGTCTTCAGAGCACACAATTTGGCTGGCACTTTCCCTTTAAATAGGTAGATAAGACTGCTTTTACTATAGTAACTGAAAAAAAAAAAAAGAAGGTCTAAGTTGGAGTAGGGACGAAATAAAAGGTAGAACTGTGGGTGAGTCACATTTCTGTGGCTAGTCACATTGGGAAAAAAATGGGGATAACCCCGTTTGACTAGCTCTAGCCAGTATATTAAGCTCATATGCTGTAAAAATACAATCTTAGTGGCATAAATCATCAAAGGTTTATTACTCACTCATTTTCTGCTATAAATGTGGAAGACTTCCTAAGGAAGCTATCTCTCATGGGATGGTTCGGGTTTATAGTATACTTTCATTTTAACACCAACTACCACACATTGCCAAGGAAGGCAAAGAGAACAGTAGCAATTAGGATAGTAATTAAATGCCCTCTGTCCAAAAGTAACATATCACACATACTTAAATTTCATTAATCGAAACAAGTCGTATGACCTGACCTCAAGAGGCATGAAATTGCAACCCTTTTTTGAGGCTGGAAAGAGGAGATTCAAACATATTTTTAAGCATCATCAATATCTAGCACACTAAGGTTCCTTACTGCACTGTTATTAAGGGTTAAAATGAATAAAGTATATATGGCACCGTATGATAGACATAGCAGATCACTCCTCTTTTTCTTATCAACAGAAGCATGATTTATTCAGGTATAGAGCAGGTACATAGTTTAGGGGAAACAGGAATCCTCTTTCGCTCCTGGATAAAATCAGAGACTTCTACAGCTAGAAAGTCTTAGAAAAGATGAAGTGCAATCTCCTCATTTTAAAACTGAGAAAGCAATGAAGGCCAGATGGTTGAAATGATTTGCTCAAGGATGTACAAGTAGTTGATATCACAGATCTGTACATACTGTAATTGGATCGTACTGTATATTTTGTTCTACAGCTTATTTTAGAAGCTGTAGAACTCTTGGAACTTGGAACTCTTGGGGGTAGATATGCAGGGCTTTTGAGGCTGCTGAGGACTGGGAGAGAAAGTTGGAGCAGCTTGGACAAAGTAGTCCCTGAACTACAGGGCACAGACCCAAGCGAGGCCACATCTTTCTTTCTCAAGTGAGCACCTTTTTCTGCAGGGCCTTACCTAAAATATCCTGACTTTGACACACAGGCCTGGCCAGCCTAAACACTGAGAGAGAATGAATTCAAAGCTGACAGCTTCTCTCCCTCTTGGGTTATAAAATAGGTTCCTTGTTTTTGAGGATGGTTTGATTTTTTACTGCAAAAGTAGCTCATTGCACATTTCTTCAAACATTCTTTTATTTCATGGACTGATCACCTTCCCAGTGACAGCTGAGCATACTAGCAGCAAACTTTGCCAGCTCTTTCTCATCACCACACTGGGAAAGGGTTGGCCCAGAAACCCAGTACAGAAGTGGGACTGACATCTGCATCCTGACTTCCTCTGCCCTCTTCAAAGGCACTGAAGCACTCCAAAGGGTTCTGAGCCATATAAGGAGAAAAGACCAATTAAAGGAGCAAAGGTTTTTACTTCTTCTTTTTAAAAATTAGTAGTTTCCTTTGTATCAAGTGAATAATTAAATTTGAAGCTACTGAAGTTTAACGTTAGAATGTACCATGTTTCCCTGGGTACTATGCTCTTAGTCTGGTGGTGACTATCCCCATCTGTCATGCAGGAAACTAGAGTTTCTTCCTTCATGGGGAGGTTACAGAGAACATTTGCTTCTCTTTCTTCCATTTCCAACCTCGTGTTTCCAGAAGAGTCTCCTCCTTTGGGCTTTTTGGAAGTCCACACCCAAAAGAAACACCAAAAAATTCAAAATGGGATATTCTGAATTAAAGAAAGTGAGACATGGCAAAGACTCAATTTGTAAGGCCATAGGGCTGATGGGAAAAAATGTGGCTTTACAGACCGGTGAATGCATCTCCCCTAGCCTCAAGGCACAGGATGCACTGCAGCCTCCAGGAATTTACTCCCCACTTGCATCCTGGGCTCCAGCTGGAAACTGTCCAGGCCTCAGAGAAAAACCGCACATGATGGCTTTTCAACAGGCCCCTTGGGGTGATGCTCCTCGGAGACACGAGCCCAGGGAGGAGACTCAATGACAGGGTCATTCTCACTACAGTTCATCTGCATCCTTCTTCCCCCTGTGCTGTGTTCCCTCCGAGGCTGGGTCTCCCCTGGGTGTCCAAGCCACAGCGTCAGATTCCAGCTCTTCTCAGGAATGCGACTTGGTAAGGGAAGGAAAATCAAAAGAACTCAGTCCTCAACTAACTGATTTTGTTTGTCTCAACGTTACAAATCCTAGAATAGAAAGTCTCAACATACACACTTACCATATATAAAAGATTACTAATAAAGAACGTATAGCACAGGTAACTCTTCTCAACACTCTATAATTAACCTTTATGGAAAAAGAATCTAAAAAAGTGAATACATGTAAATGTATAAGTGATTCACTTTGCTGTACAGCAGCAGAAACACTTTAAAACAACTACACTCCAATAATTTTTTTTTAATGAAGATCCACTTTAGAAGTTGAATTAAAGAAGAAGAAGAAAAAAAAGTTAAAATGAGGGTACCCTGAAAGAAAAGAGCAGGTTGCATTGGCCGGGAATCGAACCCGGGCCTCCCGCGTGGCAGGCGAGAATTCTACCACTGAACCACCAATGCTACTTCCGCAAGCAACTCTTGCAGCACTGTCTCTTATCATCATTTCTGACCCTCGGTCCAGCCCATATCAGAAATCTGGCCATCGCTCTCAGTCACAATTCTGAAAACACTGACTTTATGTTTCAAGACTAAAATGATAAAACTTTAAACCCTTGTCCTTGAGGCCATGGCTCTAATGCTTTCGGTTTTTCTCGAGCCGCTGAACTCAAAACCACCCTCTTCAACCAACCAGAGGGAGAACAAGTTTTTGCCTTACCATTCTTCTGCCCCAACTGCTAGCCCTTAGAACAAGCCGGGAGAAGCTGGAACTTTCTCTGCAGCTCTGAGTCCGACGCCGGTGGGGCCTCCGCTCTCAGCACGGCCCGTTCCGCTCGAACCTTCTCCCAGAGTCAGCGCAGCGCCTCCCGGGCTGAGTCAGCCGGAGCGGGCGGGCCGGGCGGCTCTGGGCTCGCCGCGAAGGCGCTAGAAGTTTCGCGGCGGCGGCGGCGGGAGGAGGCGGGTCTCCCGCAACTGGATAAAAAGCTCGTGGAGCCGGAGCCGGAAAGATCCGAGCTGGGCAGGCAGGAGAGCGGCACCGCTGAGCGCACCTCCACGGCTGAGCAGCACCAACTTCCGCAGGCTCGGGCATCCGACTCCGTGTCGCACTCGTCGCCGGGAGCGGGAGAAGCCACAGCCATGTCCGCCGCGAGGGAGCTGGCCATAGGCATCGACCTGGGCACCACGTACTCGTGCGTGGGGGTGTTCCAGCACGGCCGGGTGGAGATCCTCGCCAACGACCAGGGCAACCGCACCACCCCCAGCTACGTGGCCTTCACAGACACCGAGCGGCTGGTGGGCGACGCGGCCAAGAGCCAGGCGGCCCTGAACCCGCACAACACCGTGTTCGACGTCAAGCGACTGATCGGGCGCAGGTTCGCTGACCCCACTGTGCAGTCGGACGTGAAGCACTGGCCCTTCCAGGTGGTGAGCGAGGGCGGCAAGCCCAAGGTGCGCGTGTCCTACCGCGGGGAGGACAAGGCGTTCTACCCCGAGGAGATCTCGTCCATGGTGCTGAGCAAGATGAAGGAGACGGCGGAGGCGTACCTGGGCCAGCCCGTGAAGCACGCTGTGATCACGGTGCCCGCCTACTTCAACGACTCGCAGCGTCAGGCCACTAAGGATGCGGGTGCCATCGCGGGGCTCAACGTCCTGAGGATCATCAACGAGCCTACGGCAGCTGCCATCGCCTACGGCCTGGACCGGCTGGGCGCCGGGGAGCGCAACGTGCTCATTTTCGACCTGGGTGGGGGCACCTTCGACGTGTCGGTCCTCACCATCGACGCTGGTGTCTTTGAGGTGAAGGCCACGGCTGGAGACACTCACCTGGGTGGAGAGGACTTCGACAACCGGCTGGTGAACCACTTCACGGAGGAGTTCCGGCGGAAGCACGGGAAGGATTTGAGCAGGAACAAGCGGGCCCTGCGCAGGCTCCGCACGGCCTGCGAGCGCGCCAAGCGCACCCTGTCGTCCAGTACCCAGGCCACTCTGGAGATGGATTCCCTGTTTGAGGGTGTAGACTTCTACACTTCTATCACTCGAGCCCGCTTTGAAGAACTGTGCTCGGACCTCTTCCGCAGCACCCTGGAGCCGGTGGAGAAGGCCTTGCGGGACGCCAAGCTGGACAAGGCCCAGATCCATGACATTGTCTTGGTGGGTGGCTCTACCCGAATCCCCAAGGTACAGAAGCTTCTGCAGGACTTCTTCAATGGCAGGGAGCTGAACAAGAGCATCAACCCGGATGAAGCTGTGGCTTATGGGGCTGCCGTGCAGGCAGCAGTGTTGATGGGGGACACGTGTGAGAAGGTGCAGGATCTCCTGCTGCTGGATGTGGCTCCCCTGTCTCTGGGGCTAGAGACAGCTGGTGGGGTGATGACTACACTGATCCAGAGGAATGCCACTATCCCAACCAAGCAGACCCAGACTTTCACCACCTATTCAGACAACCAGCCTGGGGTCCTGATTCAGGTGTATGAGGGTGAGAGGGCCATGACCAGGGACAACAACCTGCTGGGGCGCTTTGAGCTCCGTGGCATCCCTCCTGCCCCACGAGGAGTCCCCCAGGTCGAGGTGACCTTCGACATCGACGCCAATGGCATCCTGAGTGTGACAGCCACTGACAGAAGCACAGGCAAAGCTAACAAGATCACCATCACCAATGACAAGGGCCGGCTGAGCAAGGAGGAGGTGGAGAGGATGGTTCGTGAGGCTGAGCAGTACAAGGCTGAGGATGAGGCGCAGAAAGACAGGGTGGCTGCCAAAAATGCTCTGGAGGCCTATGTCTTCCAGGTGAAGAGCTCCTTGCAAGAGGAGAGACTTAGAGATAAGATTCCTGAAGAGGACAGGCGCAAAGTACAAGGCAAGTGTCAGGATGTCCTTGCTTGGCTGGAGCACAACCAGTTGGCGGAGAAAGAGGAATATGAACATCAGAAGAGGGAGCTGGAGCAGATCTGTTGCCCCATCTTCTCCAGGCTCTATGGGGGGCCTGGTGTCCCTATGGGCAACAGTTGTGGAGCTCAAGCCCGACGTGGAGCCCCCAGTACTGGCCCTGTCATTGAGGAGGTCGACTAAATGTCCCCTCTGGATGGGTCAGCTGAGACTGTAAGGGCTGGGTTTGTGGACTTTCTAGACTGTCTACTGTGATCCTGCCTAACTTCAGGGGTGGGAGTAGAGGAGAATCTTACCCCTAACAGAGAATTTTTGTCAGCATGTTTTATTACTGAGGTATTTGTCATTTGACTTATAAAAAATCTTCTCCTACATCAAACAAGCAGAAGTAATCATTATGAACATTAGTGTGGCACTTTAATATTGCTTTTACCTACATTTAATGTATTTTGTTACTTGCATGTGTGGATTTGTTATATGAAATAATAAAGCTAAATAAACTTAAAATTTCTTTGTTTTCATTCTATCCAATTAAGTAGATGAAGGAGCAGGGCTTTCAGAAGCAGAAATGTTTGGGTGGGTTTTGAGGGAGGGGTGGGAAGAAAATTCATGAGGTTATGTGCATAATTTCTATAGGGGAAAGCAAGAGGAAGAGTTTGAGGAAGGCACATTGAAATAGTATTGAAGTGTGAGGAGAGAGAGGAGAGAATTGTGATATTGTTGAAAGAGGGAGGGAGGTGGAGTTGGAAAAGCAGAGAAAGAAGAGAAACAAGTTTTGGCAAGACCCTAAAATAAATATTCCGTTGGGAACTTAGTTTAGTTTGTCAGTCTATGTGTCCTAATACATGGACAAAAAGTTTATATGCTAATTATTTGCCTCTCATAATGTGACCTTATTATTGTTCTTTTAGTGAACGGACCCCAAGTCCTGGATTCTGGGGGATAGTATTTGTTAGATTAAGAAAGTAAGTCTAGTGGTGTAATTGAAGTTATTATTGATCTTATCTGTGTGAGAGAAATTGCATGGTCCCATCTTCTTTCTGCTGATGAGCCCTAGGATGATGACAATGACGATGATGACAATGATGATGACGACAGTGGCAACTGTATAGTAAAATGGCTATACTGGAACCAGATGGGTGTTACTTTATCTGCTCTGCAAGTTAAACTCTGAGCTTCAGTTTTCCCTTCTGTGTAATGGGGATGATCAAATAGCATCTCAGAATTGTTATGAGGGTACAATTAAATAAGTATGTGAGGAGTGAAGAAGAATATTAGGCTAGGCATCTAGTATTGAGCAACATAATTATTACTTATTGATTGTTGACTGTGTACCAGGTACTTTACACAATCTAATTGAATCATCACAGCAACATCACAGTGTATTATCTGTTTTGAAAGTGAGGATCCAGAGGTTAAAAGAGGTTAAACAATGTACTCAATATCCATAGCTATTAACTCAGGGAACATGGGTAGTGGGGAGAGTTGGAATTAAGAACTATGTCCTGCCTACTTCTACATTCTGTGCACTGTTACCTCTCAAACAGACCATTAAAAAAAAAAAAAAAAGATTTTACCCCAGATGTTGTGAACTTGTACATATTATTCCTTTAGCACACAGTTGGGTACTGATCCCTGAGAGAAAAAGTATATTTTATTATATCTTTGCATTATTCATTAAGTGAATATGTGCTTTTTTAGCAAGTGACTGAACCTGGGGAATATCCTCAGGCTCAACTTTACTGCCAGTTAAATGACATAAGAGAAGGGTAAGTTTGTGTAATTTAGTTCCCAATCAGCCCAAAGACTTATTTTTATCTCAGAAATGAAGGTGGCTCTGGTTAGAGGTATGCTACACTATATTTAGCTAAGGGTGATCTCTTGCATGTTGAGAGGAGATGGCAATAACAACCCACCTGCTGTCTGGTTGTCATCTTTCATTTTTAACTGCTTCTTCCTGCACCTGGCCCAAGTCTTTTGTGACTTGGCTTTACAATGAAAGAACCTGCAAAAAAGAGATGATATCATACACATATTCTGTACTATACTTCCCCTTTCCTGAATGTCCTTCCAACTTCCAAACATTGACAACTGCAACCTGTTTTGTAACTTCTCAAGCAGAATGATGACACCTACAAGGTTTGGATAGTTTCCGCACATTTCAACAATCTCTCTTTCTAAACAGACACAGGTTATAAGAAGGAGAATTTCATCATGCTTAGTTGTGAAAACACTTCAGATCTCATTTGGATGGTATCTACTTTTTTACAGAGAGATTTAAACAAACTAACCACTTCATCTACTTCTGAATGACTGTTGCTGATGCTTTAGATACTTTGGGGATTGTTTCCTGTTAATGGGTTTCCCTGGTGGCTTACAGTTAAAGAATCCCCCCCGCAATGAAGGAGATGCTGTTTGATCCCTGGGTTGGAGGACGGCCTGGTATTTAAATGTCATTGTATTGTGTACATATAGTCTTAGTTTGATTACTGTAATCACAAAATACATCCCATTATTAAAAAATCAAAACTTCCTACAACCCTTCTAATGAAAAATCAGCAGTTTTGGGAACTCCCTGGTGGTCCAGTGGTTAGGACTCTATACTTCCACTGCCTTGGCTGGGTTTCTGTCCATAGTTCAATTCAGTTCAGTTCAGTTCAGTAGCTCAGTCATGTCTGACTCTTTGCGACCCCATGAAGCACAGCATGCCAGTTCTCTCTGTCCATCACAAACTGCCGGAGTTCACTCAAACTCATGTCCATCGAGTTGGTGATGCCATCCAGCCATCTCATCCTCTGTCGTCCCCTTCTCCTCCTGCCCCCAATCCCTCTCAGCAGCAGGGTCTTTTCCAATGAGTCAACTCTTCTCATGAGGTGGTCAAAGTACTGGAGTTTCAGCTTCAGCATGAGTCCTTCCAATGAACACCCAGGACTGATCTCCCTCAGGATGGACTGGTTGGATCTCCTTGCAGTCCAAGGGACTCTCAAGAGTCTTCTCCAACACCACAGTTCAAAAGCATCCATTTTTCGGTGCTCAGCTTTCTTCACAGTCCAACTCTCACATCCATACATGACCCCTGGAAAAACCATAGCCTTGACCAGATGTACCTTTGTTGGCAATGTAATGTCTCTGCTTTTTAATATGCTATCTAGGTTGCTCATAACTTTCCTTCCAAGGAGTAAGCGTCTTTTAATTTCATGGCTACGGTCACCATCTGCAGTGATTTTGGAGCCCAAAAAAATAAAGTTCGACATTGTTTCCACTGTCTCCCCATCTATTTCCCATGAGGTGACGGGGTCTGTCCATAGTAGGGGCAGTTAAAATTCCACAAGCCTCGTGGTGGTGGTGGGGGCAGAACAAAAGCAATAGCAGTTCCTTGTCCCACTCCCAAATACTACTATTCCTAACAGGTAACCACTGTTTTGTTTTTTTTTAAGACCTTTTTATTTTGCAATAATTTTAGACTGACAGTTGTAAAGATACTATAGAAAGTCACTGTATATCCTTCATCCACCTTCTCTTAATGTTAAGGTCTTACATGGAGCCTTGGAGCAATTAAGCCCAAGCTCTGCAACTGCTGAGCCCAACGTGCCACAGCTGCCGATGCCTGCACACTCTCGGACCCTTGAACCACAACTAATGAGTCCCTGTGCTGCAGCTACTGAAGCCGGAGCACATAGAGCCTCTGCTCTGCAGTGAGAAGCCCAACTAGAGAATAGCCCGCTACTCTCTGCAACTACAGAAAGTCCACATGCAGCAATGCAGTCTCAGCATGGCCAAAAAGGAATGAATGAATGAATGAATAAAGACGTAAAGCAGTGTAAAAAGAAAAAAAATCTTTCACATTTTGGTAAGTACTGGTTAGGCATTTAGCAGAAAGAAAGTGAAAGCCATTCAGTTGTGTCCAACTCTGCGACCCCATGGACTATACAGTCCATGAAATTCTCCAGGCCAGAATACTGGAGTGGGCAGCCTTTTCCTTCTCGAGGGGATCTTCCCAACCCAGGGATCCAACCCAGGTCTCCCGTGTTGCAGGTGGGTTCTTTACCAGCTGAGCTACCAGGGAAGCAGATTGTCCCCCAATTTGGGTTTGTCAGACTTCTCATGATTAGAGTGGGATTTGGGGGCAGTATATCACAGGGTGAAGTGCCCATCTTATTGCATTATATCAGGAGGTATGTGATACCAATGTGACTGAACTATGGTGATCTTAATCTTGATCATGTAGTTAAGGTTCAGCTTTGCTATTTTCTACGTGTCTCACTTATGGATACACTCTATTGTCTTTAGTTTAGATACAGTATCTAACTTTTTATCCTCTGTTTTAAGCAATGACTGGCATATTGTAAGTGTTCAAATGATACAAAGTAAAAGGTGGCAAGGGAAAGGATATTCAAAGGTAAAGATCTACCTGCACAAAGACATCTAAATTAGATAGACCAGTGCTTTCAAACTTTAATATGCATGAGAATCATTTGAGAATCTTATAAAATGTGGATTCAGTAAATCAGAGGTGCAGCCTGAGACTTGTATTTCTAATAAGCCCCTAGGTCATCTCACTCAATCCTGACAACAATTCTGTCTCCATTTTACAACAAGCAAACTAAGACTCAGAAGAGTCAAACACATTTCCCAAGGTCATAGTCTAGTAAATAACAAAGAATGTAAACTTTCACTAACCAACCTAAAGCTCCTTCCATCTTCATGCTCATGAACTTCACACATTCAGCCTCTTCGGACTGACAGTTCTTCCCGCTTCCGCAAAGGACAACTTTTTTCTATAACCAGTTCCTCTCAAATGAGAAAGTGACTTTTTTAGGTCTTGAAGAAAAAGTTCTTGAAACAACTCCATGAGTTTATTTTTCCCTCTCTATTACTTTTCCCTGGGTTTGGTATGTTGATTTCTTTCCCTGTTTTTTGGTGGTACAGCAAGCCTATTGAATAAAAATTGGTGGTGGGAGCAGTTTGGCAAGATGGTGGGGAATCAAGAGTCCCACCAAAGCTTGACTCTACAATCTTGAGCACAAAATGACTCGGGTCAACTGCAAATTAAGAGATCTGGATTGAGGGCTTTTCTCCGTGAAGTGAATAAGCACTGAGAAACTGGAGTCTAAAGGAAAGGGGGGGGGGGGGGGCGGGGAATTGTAACTAGGGATAGATCTAAATTGGAGAAGGAAATGGCAACCCACTCCAGTATTCTTGCCTGGAGAATTTCATGGACGCAGGAGCCTGGTGGGCTACAGTCTATGGGATCACAAAGAGGCGGACACGACTGAGCGACTAACACACAACACATACATATATCTAGATAGATTCAGTTTTATATTCAAAGCGAAGCACACTCTTCATATGTAGATAGGGAGCATTAAAAAGTCTTGATAGAAAAAGCGTTGATTAAAACATAAAGTGTTGATTAATCAATAGTCGTTTCTACACGAATTAAATCCTATTTGTTCACTGGAAACAAAAAGATCTTCGAAGAAAATAACGTGGTATTGTCAGAAGTG